AAAATTTGAATTTCCAACCGGACGGGCTGTATTTCGATTGACCGAGTACTTCTTCCAACTGCCGCACAGTTCGTTAGCTTGCTCGACTAACGCGTCAAAGTCGACGTTGCCAGATGCGACCAAAGTCATGTTGGTCGGACTGTAGCGTTGTTCGAAGTAGGACATCATCTGCTGTTGCGTCAGATTGCCTACCGAGTCCTGTGTGCCAAGCACGCTGTTACCCAGCGGATGCTCGCCGAACCAGGCCGCCATACTTTTCTCGTGACCGCCATAGGGTGGCTGGTCATCGTATTTCATAATTTCTTCGAGGATCACCTTCTTCTCGGTATCGAAGTCTTCCTGGCGCAACGTGGGACGCATGATGTCGGCCAGCAGATCGACGATTTGGTGCTGCAATTCCGGAAGAACTACCGCGTAATAGACGGTTTGCTCTTCGCTGGTAAATGCGTTTGACTGAGCGCCAAGTTCGTCGAGTTCTCGATTTACATCTTCGGCAGTTCGTCGCGACGTTCCTTTGAACACCATGTGCTCAAGGAAATGACTTACGCCAGCAACCTCAGGCGTTTCATCTCGTGAACCAGTCTTGACGAAGAATGCTGTCGCTAAAGAGTAAGCATTCGGATTCACCTCTGCGACAATGTCCAAGCCGTTATCAAGCGTCGCTTGACGAAATTCCACTTGGAACCTCCAATCTCTTTGCACCGATGGTCGTGACCCGAAAATTCTTGGGTGGGTTGTTGCTCAAGTAAGCATTGATCGTTTCGACACTGATCCCATCGAGAATGGCTTCCAACTCACTCATCGTGCGGATCCTTCCCAGGTGATACCAGTCTGCCGCTAAGGAAGATGCCCGCGAAGAGCTCGATTCCTGCTGCATGATGATGCCACTTTTGAAGCGGGCCTTTAACCGGTTCAATTCGTCTTGGCGAACTCCTTTTGGAAGTTCGTTGAATTGCTCCAGCATGACGTCGAGCGTTTCCTGAGCCCGCTCTGTGCTAGTTCCTGCGTAGGCCAGAATTGCCCCCTGCGTACGCAGCGAGTTGCAAGCAGCATAAACGGTGTAACATAAGCCACGTTTCTCGCGAACTTCGCTAAACAAGCGCGAACTCATCCCGTCGCTCATGATTCCAATCGCCGCTCGTGCCTGATAAAAGTCTGGGTGCGAAACCGGAACTCCGGGAAAACCAAGCCCAACGTGTGTTTGGCTCGACTCAAACGGAACGTGGACGTACTCAGGCAGCGACTTTCCTTGGTAGCTTATCTGTCCAGGAGAAGACTCCCAGTCG